CGTAATAGCGCCAAATCAAGTGCTAGGGCGAAGCAATGGCGCATGCAGGATTGCCATGTTCCCGAATCGGCAATTGACCACGCGACAGCCGTTGCTCAGAACAGCCACCAACGTGTACAAACCAGTCGTCGCACTGACATGCAGACTGCAGGGCATTATCGCGGAGATGGCGACAGAGATGGGGTTGCTGGCAGCAGTGTGCGCGAGATCCACCGGATGGTTCACACATGCGAACTGCAAAGCTGGAGAGGCTAGACCCCCCGGGCGGGCCCACACTTCCAGGGCACGGACACCGAGTAACGTCACTGGTAGATTCAGGACCAGATTCGCAGCAAATCCACACTCAGCACTTCCGACGCGCTTTTTCACCCACTCTCCTGCGTGTCTACTTATCAGTGGCCCATCATTGCTGCACACCCCCGTCACACAGCATTAACACTGCAATTGTTATCTTGATCCACGCGCCTTCCCGTAATGGCCTCAAATCCGTCTGGCCCTGCTGGCCTCGACGCCGGCACTGCTGCCACCTCCAGCGGCCCTTCGTATGCGGCAACTGCAGCCGCTCCACCCAAGAAAAAGAAGACGCATCGCGGTGGTAAGAAGCGCAAAAACAGGAGACAGAGTTTTGCAGCTGGAGCCGATCTCGCGCAAGGCGACTCCATGATGGAGGAGCGCCCGAGTCTGGCCAATGTCGCTAGCCATGGGCAGTCGCGAGGGAGCAACGGCTTCTACCGCACCCACAGCAACCTCAGCAACACAAGCCTCGAGAGCGAGGCTCTGCTGGACCACCGCGAGCAGCCTACCATCCGGACGCGTCGTCCCAGTGTGCCTGTAACGTCCATGTACCAGCCGAGGGCAAGTCAGCCCAGCGTCAGCACGCCCCAGCGGCTTCAAGCCGCAAATTCCTACGGCCGCTCACGCCTTTCGCACACTCCCGAGGAGAACTACAGTGATGGCGAAGACGATGCGGATGATAGAACGCCACTCATGGCTTCTTCTCAACGCGACATCAGGACATCCACTAGCTATGGCTCCAACAACGGCAAGCCTCGCCGAGGAAGCAAGAACTCCGCAAAGAGCTTCAAGCATATGCCCATGCCTGAACACAGGCCGGATCTGTTCACCCAACACCACCACTCTACAACCAACCTCGACGACTACGACGTAAACAACCCCCCATCCGTACCTACGAGCCCAGCTTTCGAGGCTAGCAGCGGTCTAGACGATGTCATGCTTCCGACAGACTTGGACCACCTGTCCGACCCAGGAAGGTCTAACAGTGCATCTCGAGATGCACTCATCAACATCGATGAGGACGCCCATTCAGGCACTCCACCTACTCCGGGCGACTTCACGCGCCGCATGACCGGTTCTGCGCTTGAAGATGTCTGCTTCCCCCACGAGGACATGTCTGAGATGGGACACGAAGATTACATGAACGCCCCCACAACCGGTGAGCCTACCACTCGCCGAAGACGCCGCCGCTGGCCCGATCTCGGCGTTCTACAAGCTTGGGCGCACGAGGAGAAGGAACAACGGACTATTGAAGGCATGCGCATGCGCAAGGTTAGCGAACCGCTCATGGTTGAAGGACGCCTCCGTCCGAAACGACGCGTCTGGCATCGCGAAGACAGCGACGCTCCCTATCGCTTCACGTACTTCAACGAGACGTTCGACAACACCATTCACAGCCAGAGCATCAGCGAACTCTTGCAACCTGGGCAGAGCTTCAGAAATCTCTTCGTTCCTGATCCACCGATCCTGGACGACGACAGCGATTCTTCCGACACAGAAGATGACATGCTGCATGCTGGCCCCAACGGCGGCTACTCCTCACGCACAACAACGCGTTCGACTTCGAAGGCCGAGGGCAAGTACTCTTCTGGAGAACAGACGCGCTCAACAACCCCGCGTCCAACGGATGCAGGAAAACCCGACAAGCCCAATGGCGAAAAGCCGAAGCGGTTTGGCCCACGGCCTGCCTGGTGGTTGGATGTCATGTCCCCCACGGAGACTGAGATGAAGGTCATTTCTAAGACGTTTGGCATACATCCATTGACCTCGGAAGATATTCTCATGCAAGAGCAACGCGAAAAGGTCGAGCTGTTCAAGCACTACTACTTCATCAACTACCGTACCTTTGAGCAAGATGAGAACAGCGAGGACTACCTGGAGCCCGTCAACCTGTATGTTGTTGTGTTCAGAGAAGGCGTAATAAGCTTCCACTTTTCTATGACACCACATCCTGCCAACGTCCGCCGCCGTATTCGCCAACTTTCTGACTACCTTGTCCTGTCACCTGACTGGATCTCTTATGCCATCATTGACGATGTCACGGATGCGTACGCGCCTATGATCCAGAAGATCGAAGAAGAGGTTGATGATATCGACGAGGCTATTCTGCGACTTCATTCAAGCGAAGAAGAGCAGGAAGCAGAGAAGGAGAAATCCTACAGCTACAATAACCCGCACTACAAAGAGCCTCCCGAGATCAAGTCACAGCAAGAAACCGGCCGAGACATGTTGCGACGTGTGGGTGAATGCAGAAAGAAGGTTATGAGCCTCTACCGCTTGTTGGGCAACAAGGCCGATGTCATCAAGGGTTTCGCGAAGCGATGCAACGAGCAGTGGGACATTGCACCTCGCAATGAGATTGGCATGTATCTTGGAGATATCCAGGATCACATCGTCACTATGACAGGTAACCTGAGTCATTACGAGAAGTAAGTTGATCCCGGCACTACTATAGACCACGAACTAATCAGCTCTTCAGTCTCCTGTCTCGTGCTCATAGCAACTATCTTGCCCAGATCAACATCAGGATGAATGAACGTCAAGAGAAGACGTCTGATATTCTTGGCAAGCTTACTGTGCTCGGAACGATCGTCCTGCCAATGAACGTTGTGACGGGTATCTGGGGTATGAACTGGTGAGTCAAGACTTCTGACCCTGAGCGAACGATAAGCTAACCAAACTCAGTCTTGTCCCTGGCCAAGACATCGAGAACCTCAACTGGTTCTGGTGCATTACTGGAGGCCTCATCACCTTCGGCCTTATGTGCTACTTCATTGCGAAGAGGGTGTACGGCATCGTTTGATCACGTTCAAGAGAAAAGCATAGACTGCCATTTGGTTGAGAGAACACATTGTATCGCGTGGCGTTGGTGGTCGGGTTTCGCTCGCGTTGAGTCGTCCCTGGTTTGAGTTGGACCAAGACAGTACACACGTTTGCTTTTGTACCACTACTACATATCGGAGTCAGGCTTGTCGTTCGACTAATTAATGACAGTTGTTTGATTTCCAACCGTCAGTGTGCTCTGCTGACCCGCTTTCGTATGTTATTTCCTCACAGTGATACCGATGTCCGCGCAGTCATCTGGCCCCCAGTGTCGCCCCTCTTTGAAACACAGACGGGAGGCCACGTACAGTGAGTGTTATCGCCCAGCCGTGTTTACCGGCAGCTATGCGTCTCCGGTGAGCGAGAGAGAAAAGTGGGTATCTACCGGGAGGTGGCTTCGTTTCATACAGTCACTCCAGGTGGTGAGTCGTTGAGAAGCTGAGACATGTCCAATAGCAAGAATGTGGCTTGTTTCGGCAGTGATGTAGTCACTAGGGGAGGACAGATCTACTGGACTAAGAGACAGAGTCTCACGGCGCGGGTCGTGGGCAGGATGCACATGGTGGTGAGGGTGTGCACTGGGGTTCTTAAGGCAGTGCTTTGGACGTCTACATGGTGCAGCCTGTTGGATACTATCCCGATCTTCACGGTACTCTGATGCACGCCTCGATCGATCGAAGTAGGTCAGACACAGTGCGCTCCCTTGCAGCGAGGGTCTGGCTTGTAGTATGCATGCCCGCGATGTGTTCAGTACGTTGGGCAGGTGCTGCTCCGCCACGATGCAAAGGTTCCGGCGAGTTCACGGTCGTGGAAAAACTCTTCAACGGTCTCATCGACGTGCTTTTCTGTCGATCGCGTTAAGAACATGCTTCTTGCGAGGCGTTCTATGCGAGGTGGGCAGGGTGACCCTGGGAGTATTGGGTTGCTTCACTTTTGGGCTTTGCGTGCGGTGACGCAGGAAGGTTCTTGTCTTGCAGCTTGGTGCCAGGTTGGGCCCAAGTCCTATCTTCGATGCCGCTGTCCCGTTGATGGAGTCACCAGGCAGCCGGCAGCGATGGGGAAGGGGCAGTCAGCGGCGTGAGTCGTTGTCAGCCGCAGAAGCACCGTCCACATGCTCGAGCGCTCACCGCATGCGGGGCTATGCGCATAGGTGATGGCGCAATGTCCGGTGAGTTCTTGGTGCCCACAAAAAGAAACTTCTAGCGAATGTGACAGCTTGCAGGTAATGGTTCGCATAATGTGCGATGCGCGCGCTCCCGTCGTGGCTCGATGTAGGGCTGCGACGGCGCGGTGTGCCCATCTGGCTGCGAAGAGGGTACCTAGGTAAGGCAGACAGAGTCCGCGCAGACAGGCACTGCCCGACGGCGCCCGTATGTATTTAGTCACTGGAGACGCGGTGTTGAAACACATGGTCCAGCGTGCGGTCGGTTGAGGTGGTGCGATTGGTTTGACGTCATCGGCCTCAGGGTACCTCTTGCCTTCTGGGCAGGCCAGAATCAAGTCTTCTGACGGGGTCCGCTATTCCTGACACTTGACGTCGTCTGCCCTACTCGCGTTCACCCTCTTATTACCCCACCTCGTTTGCTGTCGCAGTCCGCCAGTATTGCGCATCCCCAACGATAGTGAGCGTGTTGATCAACACTCTCGCCAATCACCCAGCCCCGCCCGCTCGCGATCGACGCCTGCGAGTACCCGCCCTCGCTCAGCCGTTCACAGTCACGCCTAGCAGCGAGTCACCACGACTGGCTACGTAGGCGAGCACCCGCCGCCAGAGTCTACAAACATCCCCTATCCTCTGCTCCCCTCCTGCATTGCATTGCGCGCACTTCCGAGCCACTGCAACTTGCCCCTCCACTTCTCTTTCCACGACTCCACGCCGCACCATGTCGGTCATCTACAAGAGGAGCGAGCGCGACCGCGAGTGGGACACCACGTCCACGCGCACCGGTGCCACTGGCTACACCACGGTGCGGCGCTACAAGGTGCCCGACCACAGCCTCGAGGAAGACACGTACGAGACCGAGATGCGCATGGTCCACCGTGGGCGCGACGACTTCGACGACCGTCGCTCCGTCAAGGACTATCATATCGAGCGCCATGAAGCGCCCGCTCCCCAACGAGAAGTGAGACACTACCACTACGCCGAGCGTGAGCGCGAAGTTTCGCCCGTTCGTTCCGAGTATCGCATCCAGCGCGAATACGAGCGCTCCCCCTCACCAGCGCGCACCGAGATCCGCATCTCCCGGGACTACGACCGCGAGCGCGAGATCTTTCCACGGGAGCAGCCCTATGAGTTGGAGAAGTACTCGAGGTCTACTGAGTATTTCCGCCCCGAGCCGCTGCCCCAACCCCCACCACCCCAGCCCCAGTCCATCTACATCCGCAATGAGGCCCCCCAGCCCCAGCAGATGCCACCCATGCAGATGCAGATGCAGCCTATTATTATCCGGGAGGAAGCCCCTCAGCCCATCATCATCCGCGAGCGCGTCCAAGAGCCATCCTATGAGCTTGTTGAACGTACTGAAGAAGACAGACAGGTTGCTCGTCCGCAGCGCCACGAGGAAGATTACTACTACGAGCGCAGAGTGAAGGAGATCGATCGCGGCGGTCGCTACGATGAGCGATACGCCGACGAGCGTGAATACGACCACCGGTGGGGAGATAAGAACTACTACAGCGACGACGACATTTATATCCACAAGGAGAAGGATACCTGGGGTGGAAGCGAGACCCGCACCAAGCGTGATGTTGCTGCAGGCGCTCTTGCAGGAGTTGCTGCAGGACAAATCATCAGGCATCACCGCAAGAGAAAGGGTGAAGCCGCTGGAGGCAACATAGGAAATGCCCTTGGCTACGGCACGCTTGGTGCCGTGAGTGCTGTGGCTCTCGATAGATTTAACAACCGTGACAGATCCCGGTCTGTTTCTTCTGATCGTGGCAGAGGCAGCCGCCGTGCCAAATCTCGCCACCGCAGCAAGTCGAGGGTGAAGGAGCTGGGCACGCTTGCCGCACTTGCCGGTGTTGGGGCTCTCGCCTACGCTGCCGGGCAGAGGAACAAGAACAAGGTGGTCAAAGAGGAGACGGTTACGGTCATAGAAGATCGGCACCGAAGCAGGTCACGTCATGGAGGCAGATCGCGTTCTAGGAAGAGCCGAAGAAGATCCAGGTCCGCCTCAGTGGCTGATGACAGGGGTAGGTCTCGTAGCACGAGCAAACACCTAGACCCTGAGCATCGCAACAACAGAGCAGCGCAAGTTGGCCTCGCCTCTGCTGCTGTAGCCGGTCTTGCGGCACGCAGCCGTAGCAAGTCTCGAAAGCGCAAGGGCAAGCGCTCACCTAGCCGGATCCGACAGGGTGTACCAATCGCTGCCGCTGGCGTTGCCGGCGCAGCTGTCACTGGACTTTATGAGAAACGCAAGGCTAAGAAGGAGGCTAGGGCGGCATCGCGGTCCAAGTCGAGGTCGCGCTCAAGGTCCAGGTCAGTCCTCTCCCGCCTTACCGGACGCAACCGCAGCAGACGTGGAAGTACAGTGAGTGAACCTGTTTTAGTAGAGTACGGCGATGATCCGGTGTACACCGATCGTGCCAGTAGTCGCAGTCGAAGCCGGGACCGCAGCCGCGCGCACCGTAGACGGCGAGGAAGCTCTTCTTCCTCTGGTGGTCGACGTGGAAGCCGGAGCCGGAGCCGCAGCAAGAGTCGATCACGAAAGGTCGCGGAGACGGCGGCGGTTGCCGGTGTAGCTGGTCTGGCTGCCCATGAAGCAGCGAAGCGGCGCGACCGTAAGAAGGCCGAAAAGGAAGCCGAACGACGACGTGAGTCCACCCCACGCCCACACCGCAATTAGCATACTCAACATCACCAGGCGAGGAGGATTCAGCCTACTCCACAGGCACCTACAGCCCCTACGATAGTCCCACTCCCACCACTGTGTCCACTGCCTCCACTGCTCATCCTAACGACTCTCGGTACTTCCCTGAGACGAACTACTTTCCCCCTCCCCCTAGTGCTCCAGTAGACCCCAACCCCAACCTCAACTTCAATCCCAACACCAACAATCCTTATCCTCCGTATAACCCAGCAGACTTCCCTCCGCCTCCCCAGAGCGCATACGAGCCAAACCATCCCTCACATTTCGTCAACCCACCACACGACGACTTGCATCTCGGCAACCCATATGCACCCCAGCACCAGCAACAACACGAACCCTATTACGGCCAGCCACGACGTGGGGGTGACAATGTGAGTGCTCCAGTCCCTGATGGCGGTAAAGAGCACCATAACTTTGCGTCTTCACGTGGTGGGTGGAGGCCGCTGCCTGCCCATGAATCTGAACAATTCGCTGATACCAGACCAGGGCCCGTAGACGACCCACCTAGCCCGAGTCCGTCACCGGAAGAAGACAAGAGCGTCCATTTCGACCCGATCCCACAAGAACGAGAGATACCCTCCCGATCGGCCTCACGATCACGGGAGTCTTCATCCGATTCCGATTCCGAAAGGCAACACAGACATCGAGATGATCACGATCACGGTCACAAGCGACACAGGCGACGCAGGGATGACGAACGATCGGATGCTACAAGAGAGTCTGGCAGGGCCCGGAAAAGGCGTCACCGCTCTGAAAGCCCCGGGTCAGATACCTCTGATGCTACCATTGAACTTCCACCCCGCTTCGACGAGAAGGGGCGGCAGCAGCCTGAGGACCCACTGGCGGAGAAGTTGGAGAGTATTCTGCAAAACATCTTTCGATAGCGTCTCCTGCTTTGTTGATTCTCTCTTTCTTTTGAGTTATATCTTTTCGTTTCACAGAGGCACTTAATACATGTTTCTTGGAGCTTTTTTACTGTGTTTGGGCGTTTCGAGATGGGTTGGGTCATGAGAACGAAGTTACGATATCACTGCATTGAGTCGTATTCCTGTAATTATGCGTAATACTTTTTCCTTCGTACACTCTATTATGAATGTTATGTTTTTAATGTTTGCAAGACTGCCTCGACTGCCTGTGTTCTATCGTGACTTCCTGTCTTGGAAGAGTACGAAAACAGAGGTGAAGTAGCTATGGGACGCGCCTTCCTACCTAGGTGGTTACTCAGGGTCGCCGCGGCTGCTCCTTCTGTAGACGTCCCAGCTTGGCATATCGATAAACTTCACCATCACCGTCACCTTCTCCTTTCTTTAACTACACCTTCCCCCGCTGCCGCATCAATCCCTCACATGCATTCGCACCTGTTTCGCTCAATTCTCAACAACATGATTGCGCCACGCTGCTTCTCAGTCTATGCCGCGCTGCTGACGGTTCTCGCAACAGCAGCACTTTCTGCTACTGCGGATTCGCCCTTTCCGTGCACTGGGTAAGTTGGGAAATTAGTCTTCTGCGAGACCACTAAAGCTAATGCGCACAGTGGCTCCATCTACTTCACCGGCCATACAGTCGATGGCCTCCTCTTCCAGAACCCTGATCTCTACCACGACCTCTATGTTTTCAAATGCGTCACTACGGTCGTCTTCACAGCAGATAGCGGTGGCGAAGCAGCCAACAATACTCGGGTGCAGGAGTTGGAGCGCGGTCTCGAAGATGCCTACAAGTTCATGTCCGACGTGGCTTCCGTTAGGCCGGATGGCACGCAGTCGATCTCTTCTTCGAGCGAGGAAGCGCCACGTAAGGCGCCACAAGAGACCCTCATACTGCACAACGAGACTAACCAGTATACCACAGTTGCCAATGAGACCACAGTCCAGATCGGCAAGCACACTATCGTCTCTTCTTCTCTCCTCGGCCTATCGAACGCACAGATCCTCTACCTTCGTCTCCCGGACAGTACATACTTCGGGGAAGGGTATAAGGCGTACAGCGAGGAGTCGCTCAAGAAGTTGTACAGCGCAGACATATCGGAGATTACCACTACCGACGGCAAGGCCACGTACACGATCGACGATCTCAAGGACATCATTGCGACCATTCTTCGCGATCGCCGAGCCAACCAAATTCGCGTGATGAACTACCAGTCGGCTCTTTCCACTGACAACGATGACGATCAGCTCGATCATGCTGACCGAATCGTCTCTGCTAAGCTTGTGATGGACGTTGTGGAAGAGGAGGAGATCGCAGGAAATGTCACGGCGTGAGTTTGGTTTCACGATCGCTTGAAGACGGGCATGCTAACGATGTCAGATATGCATGCGACTCATTGCGTATACTGTCAACCAACAACCTCGAAACCCCGGACTACATTAAGAAGGTCGATGCATTCTTTGAGTATGCTAAGCGTGATCCCGACATGGTAAGTTGAAGACGCACTGCACAGTTTTGTGTGCATGAAAGAGCTCACTGCTAACTAAATTCAGTGCCAGAGTCTTGATGAATGTGGTCAGAGGCGCCAGAACATCAAGGATCCCTCCAAGGTCAAGTACAACGAGGTAGATCATGTTGCAAACTTTCTGAAGCGGGAGTACTACATCCGGATAGACAACGATGCCTGATACGGGAACATGTACTAGTACAGAATCTAGCCAGGGATAACATGAGAAGCCTTCTTCCATGATGGAAAGAACATTGTGGTGGATTGTGAGATACTACATAGGATAGATACCACAAAAGGAATGACCTCATATGCTCACTGCGCCCTCAACACCTCCAATGCAAAACAAGAAAAGCTCAAGCCTCATCCTTCTTCCAGCCCGTCTTACGTTTCGTGTCAAACTCAGACGGACTCAGCCTCCGTGCCGTAGGCTCTTGCCCAGGAGACCTCGGCGGCGAAACATCCTTCTTCTCCTCCTCTTCTGGTTCCCAAGCCCTCCTCTTCTCCAACTTTGCCTTCAACACAGGATCCATGCCCTCCATGCCTGATGATGGCTTGCGCTGCGGCACGGGCGGCGGCGGCCTCCTCGTTTCGCTCGTCCTCCTCAATCCCGCCCTCGAGTCCATAGCAGCCGGTTTCACAGGCGGGATCTGGCCCCTAACCTCCCTTACAACAGGGACGTCAGACGCTGCGATGGCGCCACCGAGACGTGCGAATGGTGCCGGGCTCGTGGGTGACATGGGGATGCCTGAGGTTGATGGCGTTCCGGGGATCTCTTGCGAGGGGTGCATGGGGGCACGACGGTTGCCTAGCATCATGTGACCATACGTTTGGTCGCCAACAGCGGGGAGAGAGTAGTTGATTTCTTTTGGTGCGGGCTTGGGCGCTGGAGGGGGGCGGGGTGCTGATTTGTTGACGGCGGGTTTGGGGGCGGGAGCTGGGGGCGCAGGTGGCGTGGCGGGTGGTGATGGTGGTGCGGCGGTCCTTGATCGGAGCTGTAGAAGGGTGAGGTTAGTAACTGATGTTGAGATGATATAGGACTTGGACTTACTAGTTCCTCTCGGTACTTCTTCTCCTGCTCCCATTTTTCATTCTCCCTCAAGGCTCGCTGCTCCTCTTCCTCCTTTTCTCTCTTCTTCCGGTCTGCTTCTTCTCTGGACTTTTGAATCATCAAATCCAGATCCCGTTGTTCTTTGGCCAATCGGTCGAGCTCCGCCTTTCTCTGCCTTTCGATCTCCTTTGCTTGTGCTTCCTCTTCTGCCAATCTCTTCTCATGCTCCCGCCGGCGTCGCTCAATGTCCTCTGCCATCTTCTTATCATGCTCTGCCATCTTCTTCTCATGCTCTCGGCGTTTTCTTTCCATTTCCTGTTCCTTTTCAGCCAGCTCTCTCTCTTGGTCCCTAAGTCTTCTTGCAATGGCTTCTTCATCGGCTTCTTTCTTGGCCTGCCGCCGCCTTTCTTCCGCCTCCCTGAGGTCTCTCTCCCTAGCTTCCTCCTCGTCCCGTCGCCTTTGCTCCACTTCCCGGCGGCGCTTCTCCATAGCTTCTTCGTCGGCTCTTTCTTTCGCCCGACGTCGTTGTTCATCTTCCCGGCGGCGTTTCTCCGTAGCTTCTTCTTCGGCCCTCTGATCCGCTCGGCGTCTTTCTTCGGCTTCCCTGCGACTTCTCTCCCTGGCCTCTTCATCAGCTCGCTGCTTTCTGTCCGCTTCCCGGCGGGCTCTGTCCCTGGCTTCTTCGTCGGCTTTTTGCTGAGCCCGTCGTCTTTCTTCCGCCTCCCGGCGGTTCTTCTCTTTAAGTTCTTCCTGCCCACGTCGGAATGCTTCTGCGGCCTCTTCGTTTTCTCGGCGTTTGTGTTCTCTTTCTTTTTCCAAGTCACGGCGCATGGCGGCTTCTTCGTTGTCGCGGAGACATCTGTTGCAAATCCCGTTTTGGTCTCTGGTTTTTACGGTGCAGCGATCTTTTGTCCTCGAATTGTCACGGTCACAGGGTACTCTGGTCCTATCGTAGTAGGGGCAGTTGAGAGTGACGACATGATCATCCTGCTTGTGGCCGCATTCGAGTATCGTGATTGTGTACTTGCACATCCTGGGCGAAAATGTGGGTGAGCCACGAGACGAATGCGAGTGTAGGTCGGCAGCGTAATAGTGGGGTTAGAGCAAAGGGATGTTGAAGGAGATCAGGAAATGCTATGATAGCAGCAATTGATACTTATATGGCGCAGATGTTGACCGCCCCCTTGTACTAGTGAAGTGCTGCATAAGTGATGTACACGTACACGTAGTGGCATCATATGACTCTGAAACATGGCTGGAAGAAGCGGCCGGTGTTGTAAGCCTGTGAAGATACCGAATTGACAGTGCAAACATTAGTACAACTCATCAAACGGCAAGCCAGCCTGCGTCCGCGCAGAGCGCCGTCAATGAGGCGAACAGCGGCCGATTGGCCAGACACGATGGCTAGGGTATCTTTCCACCTACGGCGGCACAGAGGGAAGAATCCTATGCGTCTCTCAGTCTACCGACTGCTACTCCTAAGGATGCAATGTCGCGAGGTGCCCCCAGCGTGTGTGTTAGCAGACCCACAGTTCCATCAGACGTGGTTGACCGCCGTAGGCGCATTCCACGAGCATCGATGCGGCTCTGTACCGAGCCATTTTTTGCGCAGAAACTAATACGGGACGTTGCCAACAAAGGAATCCGCAGGCTAGACTGCCGCGGATGCCAGAGAAAAATGAAGCTTCCGCAGCGCGCAGCAGCGACGAAACGCACGAGGACGGTGTCGGTGGGGATAGCTACGTGGCGGCCTCGACTGTACTGGGCATGGCTCGCTGCAGCAAAGGCGGTAATGTGTTTCAAGCAGCGAAGTCGTGGATCCATGTAGCTACGGGAGAACGGCGATCAGGTAATGCCATCGATCACGCAACACGAAGCGATGCTTGGGATGACCTGAACTATGCGGAGAAGGAGTGAGGAAGCGTCGAAGGTACAACGGAGTGGAGATGTTGGGCGCGGCCAATCAGAGGCGGCTGATTGCAATGACCCCTGCACATTTACTTGGCGCTTCGG